TGAAAAATTCTCAATATTTGTTCTAAAAAGGTAACTATCGTTACTTTAAAATCCAAGTTCTGTTGATCACTTATAGAAACTAAAGGAAAAATGATTTATAAGCTTCTTTCTAACGTCCAATTGTTTAATTTTTGTGTACCATTTTCAACTTTATAATTTGTTAGACTAATGGTTTTGAGATTCAGATTTGGCTAGAATCATATCGTTGGAAGAAGGAAAAAGTCAAGCGTATGCCATGCTTAATATTCCAATAACAACTATCTGGAGGGTCTTCCATCGGAACCAAGATACTGGAGGTTACTCAAGAAGGCATAGATCAGGTCGCCATCGAGTCATATCTCAGAGAGATTATAGTATTATTGTTTCAAATGTATTCCTTAATCGTCATTCTTCCGCTGATGAGATCAAACAACGACTTCAACAAGTTAGAAAAGCCATAAAATCATTTAAACAAAAACAAAAAATTCCGATATTTACTATACAACGCTTAGTTATAAAACAGGTCAAATGTAGTGGAAAAGTTATTTTGTGTGGTTTCTTAAAAGTATATTGTTTAAGAAGAAATAGTTCAAAACCGTTCCTAAGCTTAGCTATATAAAAGTTTAAAATATATGCCGTGTTTCATAATATTGTCAGGATCATTTAGCGAGATATTAAAAGGGAAATGTTTTATATGACCCCTCGAGTTTAATCGGCCCCGCGGGAAAGAATCATCCCTATCTATTGTGGCAAAATTTTCAACGCTCATTAGCACATCTGTCGACGTATAAAACACTGATAGGCAAAAAATGTTCACCCTGTTTTTTTTANGTCACTAATCACCACAGAATCGTTACAAATTTTATTTTTCTTTGTTGATTATTTTTTATATTCATTTATTTATTTACAACTGAACTCTAAATATGCAACAAACAAAAATATTGAAATTGTTATTATATTGTGTGAACATGCACATAAGTATATATCCACGAATTATTAAATTAATAATTAGCTAGTTTTCATGGTCCGCTTGACCAATTAATATCTTTCAATTAATTAAGGTTTTTAGTTAACGTAAAAGAGACATTTGAAAAATGGCAAAAAGAAGGAAAAATTCAGAAGGCGGGGTTGAGACGGGAAGTTAGTGTCGGAGTGGATCGAGGTCACGATAGCTCAAGTGGTAGAGCAGCGGCGGATCTAGCCGAAGATCGTGGGTTCGAATCCCGCTTCTGACATTGACTTTTTTATTTCAAGTAAAAACCTTAATTAATTGAAATAAATGAATAATATTATTAAGAAGAATCATAAGTTTTTAATTCATTTATTTATTTACAATTGTACTTTAAACATACCGCGAGCAAAAATGTTGAAATTGTCCTTCTAATTTGTGAACGTGCACACAAGGTTGTAAGTACGGTCAACAAAATGGCCTGTAAAGTATGAAGGGCGTGATGGGATCCCGTGATGGGATCAGTTAGTTCACCAATAGAGTGGAGACCACTTGGCAACTATCTATTGCCAATGTTAGGCAGCTAAGTTGTCGCATGGCCAATGTCGTTTCAGTTTCCGACGAAGATTGGCGGGTAATGTTGAGGATGGCAAGAGGTTTCAGAGATCGGGTAATTTAGAATGAAAATTTTTGTACCGAAATTAGGCAAGGTCGGATACAAATGAATTTTTAATGCTGTATGAATTGTATGGTTAGAGACATAAAAAGGAGCTTTAACTATTCATCGAATTTTTAAATTGTAGGGTTTGTAGTCTGTTAAGATTTGAACGCTTAGCGGTTCCGTACAGTTCAAGTCCGTATGGTTCATAACAGGGGTTAGCAGGGCAGGTCATTTTTTTGTTTCTGTAAGTTTGGATCGTTTGTCAAGCAGTCTTTTTAGCAGTCTGAATCTTGTATTTAAATTTGAACACTTGAGTCTCGTATCTCATTCCTTGTAAGTCATTTCTCGAGGTACAGTTGAAAGTATCGTACGTTGTTCACAACGGGGACGGGAAGATTATTGAAATATAAAGGAGTAAGAGTTCTTTTGTTAAGAGTGAAAACAATAGATTTAGTTTAATGGTACCTTGATTCGCCATTGACGGTGCAAGGATTCTACCGTGTATAAGTGACTTTGTAAATTACGTGTGAATCGGAGGTAAGTATTGATGTGTCAACGGCAAAAATAAAAATGAAAGTGTTATGGTGAGTGGGTAGATCAGCCGTGTAGATTGTTTAAAGGAGGGGAGTGAGAATGCTCCCCTGTTGAACACCAGAGAGAATCGGGTAAATAGAGGAGAAAGAAGCGTTTTCGACAGTTTGGAATGACATGGACATGTAGATGATTTTAGTATCAAGAATGGTAGAGTGCCCTTGAGCATCCTCAGACGCCCCGGGTGGCATACCCTATCAAATGCCTGAGATATGTCCAGAAAGACATGATGGCAGTACTGTTTCAGTTCGAGGGCAGTGGTAATGGTGTCTAAAACGCGATGAGCTTGATGAATAGTCGAGTGGCAGCTCCGAAAGCCGAATTGGTGATTGGGAATAATATGGGATGAAATTTCGTTATAAACGCGGAGCAAGTTAGTAGTTTTTCGAGAATCTTCTCGATTATAGGTAAAAGTTCAATTACGGAGTAGATTCGAACAAATAAAACCAATAACTCTCTGATATGTGACAAGAGGGTGACCTGATCTGTGCCTTCTTGAGTAACCTCAAGTATCTTGTTAGCGATGGAAGAAAGCACCTTCCATCTTCCAACAAAGCTATGATTGATGATAGCTGAATCTTAATCACTTAAAACCATCAGTTAACCAAATGTTAAAGATGAAAATGTTAGGATTTATTGTATCGTAATATATATAAATAAATTAACAATGATGAATTCTTTATCATGGCTCAATATTTAAATGAGGGATAAAATATTCATACTAGCGATATAGGTATAGAGGTAAATTATCTTAATGATCACGCTATCTTTTTCAGTTTTTCTGGTATGATTCTATCATATGAAGCCGCATATTTCAGGTGTTACGATGCATCCCTTACAGTCGATGGTTCAATTCAAGGATATGTACCCGTTGTATGCAAAATTTTCTATTTCACGTAATTGTTTTTGTGATTGGCATTGAAAAACTAGAATATTTCGAGGAAGGAGCATAAACTAGTCCGCAATGCACGATCTTTACTTTCGATGAAAAACTTACTAGTTTCTAACATTCATTATCATAATTTCTATTCTCTGAGGAATTATGCTATTTAAATAAAATTTATGAAAGTGTTTGTAAAATTTATTGGAATTTAGTTTTTTTATTTTAGAAAAAGCTAGAGCTAGTAAGTTCAATTTAGAATTGTAAATGAATGACCCCAGGACAGCACAAAAAAAGAAGAGATTTTTGTAGAATTTTCATATGAAAAAATATTATTAAACTTAAAAGCTATGCAGCTATAAGCAACATATTGTGTGGTGTTGGAATTTAAACTGCCGTGTTAACGGGACAATTCAATAATATGCTATAAATAAATAGCAAATAATCTGTTGTAATGAGACATAAATAAACCTTATCTTCAAGTAAAAATTCTCTTTTTTCTTGAAGTTAATATTTATACTCTCCTTGATTAAATATTTTGTTTGTTTACGAGGGAGGTCATATCGACCACTGGAGTATCGGTGTTTTTATAATAGTCCATTTGAATGTCGGATTGTAAGTAAGTAAAGTAGTTTGTATACATGTCGGATTCCGATTCAGGGCCGCTGGATTCGAACTCGAGACCTTTACCTTACGGTTTTGAGTGCCTCCGACTTCCTACAGATTAATTGTCAAAACAATTTTTTTAATATAACACCAGGGAAACAGCGAATATACATAATTCAAATTTTTGCAACAATTTCTGGTAATTAGATTTTTCCCTTTAAAATTAAAAAACAATATTAAAATTATATATAATATTGATAAAAATTAAAATTCTAGAAATTCATTTAAAACAATGGAATATTGAAAATATACAGGGATGAAAATTACTTGACCATCCAAGTTACCATTACATTACATTAGTGTATGATAATCAAAACACTTTAAAACATTGTTTTATTTAATATTATTGCTAAATTCACTAGTTTCCGTGGTCCGCTTGACCAATTAATGACGTTCAATTAATTAAGGTTATTAGTTGAAATAAAAAAGTCAGTGTCACGAGCGGGATTCGAACCCACGACCTTCGGCTAGATACGCCGCTACTCTACCACTTGAGCTCTCGTGACTTCGATCGACTCGGACACTAACTTCCCATCTCAACCCCACCTTTCGAATTTTCTCTTCTTTTTGCCATTTTTTATTATTCCTAAATAAAATTACATGGAATGTGCCGGGATTCGAACCTAGGAGCTAGGGTGGCAAATGCAAGTCGAATCAATCGGCCAGTGCAGTCCCGGGTCAGTAAAATAATTATATTGTGTTTGTTTAATATATATTATATGTCGTTTAAATATATTTATCAATCCATTTTAAGTGAAAAACAAAAATATTAGAAATCAATTTCACTAATTTTAACAGCAGATAAATGTTTGCTAATTCCTCAAATCAAGAGGATTTACTAAATCGCACATAAGAAACTAACTAACCACGACCTGGTCAACCAATAAAACTTAGAACCGGCATTGACCAACGATGCTAATCTCTTCGAAAATGTGTTTCTTGTAAATTGTTTGAAATGTAATCTTTCCTTCGTTAACTTTTCTAGTCAAACATTTCAATACAATAGTATTAAATTATATTATTAATATTTTAGGTCGTAAGGCAGTTGAAAGTGGTCTTGTAGAAGATGGTCTCATTAAAGATTGAGGAATTAAGTTTATTTCAAGGTCAGTTCTGTGTGATGATTTCTCTGCCTAAATTGTTAATATGCAATGTAGATCATCATGGATACGAAGACAATTCATTTATAAGTGAAAACACTCCAAGGTTTCATTGTATTTTTGTTTATTTTAGTAAAAAGTTAATGTATTATTAATAATTATAAAACCGTTTACCTTATTTTAGAATCCTTAGTTTTAAGTATTTTTTGAGCTTGTTTGATCGGCCACCTTCTTTATCACACAGTTGTGATCACAGAAAAAACCACACTTAAATCACAGAATACTTAAACAACACAATTTTTTCCAGGTACAAAATTAGAAACTTCTTTTCACATTCACTATTTATCCAGTCAGGATCGTCCCAGAGTCCGAAAGCCTCCCATCCGAAAGCGATGGTAAAAAGTGATGTATAAGTGTTATTTTTCTCGAACCAATATGGATTTTATTACTTTTTAATTTATATGTAATGACCTCAGGGCTATGGAGCGAGAAGCGTTCGTCGCGGGCTTTTGCACCGAACTGCGGGCACCCCCAAAGGGCGAGGCGGGGGATGATCACTCGTGGGTTTTCGCCAGCCCTCGCCACCCACCCCGCCATTCTCGTGCATTTGTTAACTAACCGTCCAAAGCCAACTGTTCCAAAGGACACAAATTTGTTATAGAATACACACAAACAACAGCTAGAAAGTTAATGAAAGCCGAACACGCATTCTTTTAAGTCAGCATAATAAAACAAAAGAAAAATATAACCCTTTTATCTACGTGATCTATCTTCAGTAGAATTCCAAAAATGCGTACGACATGCGAAGAAAGAACACGTAACGTTAAACTCTTACAACATGTAAAGGAGATAAGACAAAGAAAACAAATAGTTAGTAGTTTCCCTGGAAACGAAAGTTAAACTTTTTACAATAATCAATATTTTGAACATATTAATAAAATAGAAAAAAATATTTGTGTCAATTATATATTGTATACCCTTAATGAATTTAAGGAACCACAGTAGTAGAGTGGTTAGCGCGTCCTACTGGTAATAATTATCCTGGCGGGTCCCAATCCCATCATAACCCTTGCTTTTTAATTATTATAATGTAAAAACACATCGTAAATTGGAAAAGGTTCCGAAGTTGCCTGCTATATTGTTTCTCTCACCCACCCTGGGAGTGGTGGCCCATTTTATGTGGACCTACGGCGACAACGGGTGGTATAGTGTGGTTCGAGACTCGAGACCCCGATACGGCTCACCTCGTGTTCTCATCCACGGCCCTTTTTTTCAATCCGAGCTCCTTCATTCTATCCTGTGACCCCTCCTAACCCTTGGTTACAAGGGGGGTATCCAGGCACAAAATAATGGTGTAGCCTTGAGGGCGTGGCAACCTCTCTAAAGCACAAGCTGTACTCGTGTCGGCCTAAGGGTCGGCATGGGCGGCGGGTGCCTTAGCAGAGTCACACGAGAGCCAGTGCACTAGATCCTGCAAAGACGGGGGAGGGTGTATGGTCATCTGTACCACGTTTCACGAAAAGTTTCAAATTCAGCCCTAGTTACACTGGGAATGGATTCGTGGTGATGCGTGGTGACGCCCCTGGCGGGAACTTAGACAGAGGCTGTCTTTTATCTGTGACCTCAGTGAAGCTTGCGTATGGCCAACCTCCCGGCCTCACGGGAGACGTTGCAACCGGACGACAGCATGTAAGCGTTGAGGACCTAATGATCATGCTATAGTCCCTCGAATGCGTAAATAAGCGAAGGGAAGCGGGTAGTGAATCGGTGTCTTGGACTCGAGTATGCTTTGCGTTGTTGTGCGTATGACCGGCGTGGTACCCTTGGGGAAGCGAAGGATCGGACACCTAGGCTGAGCCTATGACGTCCCTCGAATGCGCGTGACAGGTGTAGGCTGAGCTCGATAAGAGACTTTACCGTAAGCCGTGCTCATCTAGGGGGTGGTTAGCAATTCCACTTTAAACTAAACCGCTGCCGGGGCGTTCCCGGGAGTTTCTACGCTGGGGGAGCCTCTATACTCAGAGAGATAGAGTGGCTTTCTCTATCTAGGGAGTACGCGGGGGGGGGGACAGGCTGATGTATTTCGGCCTGTTGACGCCTCGTTTGCGGCGTACGACCCGATGCACAATGCGGGCCCGACATTCGGAGTGGACAAGCGGAGAACGTGGTTGTACTGGCCCTTAGAGGCTGGGACACCTCTACACCAATGCTGCGGCGGTAACACCATTCCGTCGTATGGAGAAGTGCGTCAGCTCTCATCTTGAGAATCAAAACGTCCGATAAGGCCGAATAGGCTAGGTGCGGACGCTAAAGATCCTCTTGTCTTGTTGACGATGAGTACTCGGGAACACAATGCTATATTGTTTCTGCTGCTTCTTGTTCCGAGTCTACATGCCTGTGGCTAGTAAGCAGTCCAACTATCCTTCTAGTTCTAATACATCCTCGATTAAGTAATGCTGTTGATAGTTCCTGCGGTGCCCGCCGATCAAAGTTTTCACATGTTTCATATGGATATATGTTTTTGGATATTTCGGTATGCCGTAAAAGGGTGCAAGGTTGATATATCGACCTCCTCAGTACTTCTCTGTCCTATCTGATTTGGTAGCCAAATAAGGGTTTTGGTACCTTTCGCTAACGTCTGACAGGGACAGATCTGGCCTAACGATGAAGTAAACAGCAATCTGTATTGGTTGAGATAAAAAAAGTCAGTGTTACAAGCGGGATTCGAACCCACGACCTTCGGCTAAATACGCCCCTACTCTACCACTTGAACTATCGTGACTTCGATCCACTCCGGCTTGTGACAATGACTTTTTTTATCTCAATACCTTAAATACAGATTAATTGATTAATTAAGTCAAGATACACTTGATTCACAACATTCAAAACATTATTTGTAGCAGTTCTAAAGCTCGTAATTTCACTGGCTCAGTTTCATAATATCAAAAGATTGCATTATATTATGAAATAGATATTGACAAAATCCACTTTTTAGCACAAAAAAAACGGTCTTTTCGCATTTAATTGATAACAAAAGATTGGCGTACCTTTCCACTGTTCGAAACATTATTGTTAATTAAATATTTAACAAAAAGTTAAATTGAAACTATGAATCTTTTCATTCATAGGATTTTAGAATAAATTAGTAATTCAGTGATATGGTAATTGGCTATAAAGTCCCTTATAAGAGTTCTCAACGCTAAATAAAATGATACACAAAGAAATTCCTAAATTGTTTTATTTCTAGCATAGGTTTAAAAATTATTTAAATAAAACAAAAGTTTATTGTGCAAAATTTAATTATCACATTATTTATGAATAAACAAAAAATAGAAAAAGTAGAAATCTGTTGACCTGCAATATTCATAATCCGAATAATAAAAGAGTAGCTGATTTAAATAAACTAATTAACAACACAAGTCAAAAATTTAAAATTATAAATTTAAAATGTATAAATACAGTTAAAATTCTAAAATGTTAAGTACAAAGGAAATGTTAGCTACTGAGCGACCGTGAACAATAAACATGCTGGTACTTCTTTTTCCTCGAGCTGTTTTTCGTTCAGGTAAAAATTCAAATATATTCAAAATTTTAATTAGGATATTTGCAAATGAGTTGGTTATATTCAATAGATAAAACGCTATAAAAAAATACAGTTGAAATATGTAAGAAAAATTAACTAAGTAATAATAAAGGTTAAAAACGAGTTCACTAACGGACTTCAGGTTACACTGACATTTCCTTAATAAAAATAAAATAAAATGAGTAAAAGGTTGAACGGGCATAATTCATAAAAATTATGAAAGAAGTAATAAAAAAATTATCAGTATTTCTCTGCATACAATAAATTATTTTTAACGGGGCGTCGGCGGCCGCAACGGTTTAGGCGTTGACACGGCGCTCATCGCTGTAAGGAAAAGGTCCCCAGTTCGAATCCAGCGGCCCCGCATTCGAACCCGACATACTTACAAATGGGCTTTTTTCAAAAACACCGGCACCCAGATAGTTGATATAACCTCTGCTATTGCAAACAAAAAAAAAACCTATTTTTGTTTCCGCAATAAGTAATTAGTTAAGAGTCTATTTGTTCTTTACTTAAATGGTACATAATATGAAAAATGAAGAATAAAAACTACTAAAAAAAGAGGCTTTATCAAGCATAATTTATGAACAAAATCCAATAATTTCTTCAAAACCAATATGTTTTGTTCAAACCAGTGGCTAAAAGTGTCAAATATTGATCAAAAAGAAATTGTTTTGGTTCTGTTAGTTGATTTAATATTCTTAAGGAGAAGAATATACATCATTGCATCATTATTTCATAGCCATTTGTCCAATTTTTGAAGAATTTTAGGGAAAACACTACAGGAAATCATACGTAAATAAAGTAGATGGAACTCGCAAAACATTTTGAACTAAAAACATAATTTGCTTACAAAAACAATTTTTAAATGAATACGCTACCTATAAATAAACCTATATAGCACAAAAATAGAAACGTTTTAGACCATTGACTTGAGATACCAAAAAACAAGTTTTTTTTGCTTTAGTGGTTAAGTATCAGCCATTCGATTCTCTTCTTCAGAGGACAGGGATGCCAGGCGCCGTTGGGGAGTAGTACACCCAATCGGAAAGGACAGGGAGAGAATCGTGAACATGCTTTTTCGTCTTTCCCGGAGTATTTTCCGGAGACGTGGCTAAAAACCATTCACATTGAGATAGCATGGAAAAGACCACGTCTCCCGCACCTCCGGAGCTAAATATGCTCAGGGATATCCCGTCTCCTGTCCCTTCCGCACCAACCCCGTCAAGCCCCTAACCGCATCCACCTACTTCAAGTCTCANAAATTGAAGTTTTCCAATCTTTGAAATGAAATTTTAGAATCTGATAGTATCAATACCGTTTCATGGTTGGCTTTCTTATTGTACACATATGAAGTGCTTTATAAATTCCAATGAGTTCAGCAAAATAAATTCTGAATTCTGGAGGAAGCTTATACATCCCGTGTTTAATACTTTGGGGGTCAAACCAGGGACACCCAACACCCTCTTTCATACTTTGAGCCGTCACTGAAAATAAACTAAGGAATTAGGCATATGGTGGTTACGACTCTCGGGAAAATTGAATTTGCAGCGGCAGGAGCAAACTTTTTATAATCCCTGAGTGAAGTAATGCACAATTTATTATAATATCCCTCATATGCCACTTCAAAACATGACCAAACGCTGTTTTTATGTAAGGAAAAATTTAAATCAACTGACTCTAAATACGCCTTAATCAGGAGTAGAAGCTTTTTCTTTTACCAGAATTTTCCCGTCAAAACCTTTATATACAAATGAAATTTTGTTGTATAGTTTACTATTTGTTGATATTAGCTTCGCTAGAAAGTTGGATGCAAGTTTTTTGATTCGAATATGGAGTGGGAGCTTGCAATATTCTATGTCCAACACTTTCATTGGAGTATTATTTAGGTATCCCATACATCATCTCAAATATTTATTCCTAAAGACTTTAAGTTTGTTTATAT